ACCTAAGAGCGATGGCCTCCAACCTAAGAGCGATGGCCTCCAACCCAGGAGCGATGGCCTCCAACCTGAGGGCAATGGCCTCCAACCTAAGAGCGATGGCCTCCAACCTGAGAGTGATGGCCTACTTTCTTTTGAGAAAGTCGCAAGTGCAAAGTTGTGCTCACCTGAGGCCACCAGCGACTTGCCACATCTCATTCACGGCGGGAGGGCAACGCACTGGCCTTTGTCTGTGGATTTGCACAAAATTTGCTGGCTTCTGGTATGTTTGCTGATTGCTGTCGCGGACTTAAAAGGGATGCTTTGCTTTCTCGTACTAAGCTACTCAGTTTCCATGTGCTGCGGTTGATCTTCGGCCTTGGATGCCTAGCGCTCAACCTGTGGTTACAATTCATGAAGCCTGGCGCAACGCAGCAAATGTATGGAGAGGTTCGGGGGAGCGGGAAGAATTTGTGGACTCCTCTCTTCATCAGGAGTTTAGAAGTCTTTGTCCTTTCCCTTCTGTCTCTCTACTTTGAATAGAGACTACGGACAAGATGGTCCTTCCTGGTGGCGGGTTGGTGGTTCACTGCTTGTACCTAAGATTTATACTAACATATAAAACATACTGGTTGTATATATATATATAGATCTGTGACGGCTGTTTCCAGTTCTTGGCAGTGGGGAGAATAGCAGATATAGGTCTTTGTCTTGCTCTTTGTCTTGCTGTAGCATTTCCAGGACATCATTTGTGGCTATCCTCCCGCCCTCCCAAAACCATCCCAAGTCATGCTTCTAAGAGCACTCTCAATCATGTCTTGAGCTTTCTTGATCTCAAGTGCTGCGACAGTTTCTCCTTTGCTACCAGGTTCTTCCAGTTGACTCAAGCTCCAAGATTTCTAGAAGGGCTTTATAACTTGCAGCTTCATCGAGAAATCTATCTACAGCATTGCCGCACTTCTTCCTGTGTTGTGTTGATCCAGCTGACGTGTGCTATCTTCGGGTGGGCAATGAGCCCTTTGTGCCCTCTATACAAACAGGGTTTCGGTTCCACAACACAAAAGTGAAGAGTGTTATACTTGCAGCTTCTGCTTCTCGAGCACATGGTGGCACTTGCAAGTTGCAAAAAGCTTGTTATGTGCTGGCATTTAGTATTTAAGAAAGCGCATCGCTTTGAGGATTGTCAACAAAGTGACCGAATTTATAGTCACGCGTGCCACAGCTGAACTTATAGACTTGTGCACGCCATTGATGTTCAACAGAAAGCCCTATGTTCGTGAGACATGCCAGGGTCGGTTCACAAGACCCAGGAGAGCAGTGCTGGCCGCTATTGTCATTTGCTGTTTCCGGCTGACCATTTGGCGACGGATGTGCAGGAAAACTATATCGAATATCATCGCCAAGTCTTCGACTCGAAGGGGAATTTCCTTCACGATGTTTGGCTTGATTGGGATGGACCAAAAGAGCCATGGCTTCAACTAGAGACATTTCAGAGATGCAGCTGAAGGCACTTTCAGAGTCCCTTGTTGTTTTTGTCTTTTGGCAAGATATCACACTAAGGCCGAGCTTTGCAGTATGGCACTGTCCAAAATCTCATTCACTTCAACCATCATTTTTCTTTGGACGATCAGGTGCTGGAAATTGACATAAAAAAGACGTGGCACTAGTGCAGTTGCACATGTTTTTGGTAACAGCGCCTCTCGCACTTTGCTACCATGCCGTGCTTTGCTTGCATGCTCTTGGGGGTGGGGGGTGTAGTAACAAAATGTTGTGATGAGTTTCTTCTTCAAGTTCATGTGGTGGCTGTCAGTTCGTTACGTGGGGTTGATTCACTTGTCTGGTTGTGGCTCTTCATTCTGGTGGCCGGGGGGCGTTGCGTGTGCGCGCATTAGGCTATCACACCGAGGGTTCCCACCTTTATACTTGTAGCTTTAGACCTTGTCAGGTTGTGTCTGGTTTAGCCGCGAGCGTTGAGCCGGTTTTGGTTTCTTGGCGGGTAAGACGTTGGCGTGATGGTCCTTTGTCGGGTTTCTTGGTGTACGACCTACGAGACTGTGGCTGTGTCGTTGAATATTGCACTATGTTCGAACCGGCTTTTGGATTGCAATTGCGACGAGTTCTCAGAGTTGGAACACTCCGGAAATCTGGTGGGGCCAGACTCCGCTTTCAACAGGGATGCATTCCACCATCGGATACAACCGCGATCACGACATGAAATCCACGCTTCCGACAAAAGGCAGATGGAGTCGACGGTTGAGTGTGGATCAGCAGAGCTTAGATGTTTCCTGTGGCAATCGAAGCACGTACAATCCACGACATGTGGAAAATTGGCCGAGAAAGAATTCGCCTGCTTGAGTGTTGAGGACAAAGCAGAAAGGTGCGACATAATTTCACATTTTACTGTTCACACGTCCACATACAATTACGCACTTGCAACAGTTGGGAGAGATGCGGAGTTGGCATAGTCCGGAACCTTCTCAATGACCGGGTCGATCAAAGTACCAAGAGCAATTGCCGATCGATCTACGCTTGGAAACCTGTTGGAAGAACACAAACACGTGTAATCTCAGTCGGAAACAAGGGGAACAGCTTGAGAACTCCACAACGGGGTACAGGTGTCACTAAGCAAAGGACGTACGGGGGAATCTTTCCTGTGTTTTGCACCCGGCTGTAAAGTCTTGTGCGTCATAAGTCCACATGTTGCCATGTTTTGTTGGGTTTGTCTATTTAGGTTTTTACCTTGGGTCTACTGGCTTGAAGCATGCTTGGACGAGGTCCTGTTCAGAGCTATACACTACTATGCAAAAACGTCAGCATTGATTGCACGTGCCTATTGCAATTCTAGATTCACGTTGTTTTTATGAGTAAGTTGCCAACACTTTGTTGTACAGTAAAGGGACTACAATATGAAAGAAGACGCGCGCGCGCGCAGCTCATGAAACTGGTCACAGACAGGATGCTGAGCGAAGTGACCACTTGCTTGCAGCTGACCCTTGACATCTTCAAAGTGCCTCTCCATCCTGGACATCAAAGCCATGGTTTGGAATCACATGATTCAGAACCAATGCTGAAAAGACACACAGTGCGCCTTGGATACTGTAGCCAACACTGTGCACTTGTTTTGTTCGCAAACTTGTTTGCGCCCTGTCACTGGCAGACGTTGCGCTGTCTCCAACTCCGCCTAAGGCTCAATTTCAATTATGACAGAAATGAGGTGGAGAGCTTGGATGTGGTGCACATCGAAATGCCCGCAAGAATTTGCTTGGCGCTGTGTGTGACGTTGCCGAGCCTGGGATGAAGATCTCACGAACATTCCGTCAATGGAATAAGGAACATTCCGTCAATGTTGCTGTAAACCACGTTGCTTTGGCGGTGAAGGGTCCTTCAAGGGATTGAAGTTGCTTGCCCTGAGATTTCTTGCCACATGCCCCTTTCAGGAAACTTGCCATTGGGGTCATCCTCCTTTGGGGTGGATGTCGCTGGTTTGCAGCGACTGAGTCTTGGGAGGACTCTTTGATGTGGAAGTATACGATTTGCCGATGCCCCGTGCTGCAACCTGCGTTTGAACCGACTAACATGGAAATTCGGTCTGGCTTTGTCTTTAAGAAGGCGCGGTTGTCGCACACCCCGGCGCCTTTGAAGGATCTGATTCTGAATGCCTTGGCGCTAGAATTTGTCTCAAGCTCAGAAACCATGTACCTTCAAAGTTCCTTTAGAGGACTTAATTTAATCGTGCAAACAATGGTTTGAACATTGCAGGTGATTAGCATTGATGAACTCATTCTGGATGCCTTTGCTCCTTTGAGAATGAAGCAGACCATTGAGAAAACGAAACTGATCCATGTTTTCGAGGACCGCTCTCCAATCGAAACTACAGATAAACCTTGACCTGCTTCAAGTAATTCCTTTGATTCACACAGTGAATGTTCTGGTGCAGTAGATAGCCTTTCATGTCGTTGCTGATGCTGGAGCTGGTATCAGGGGTGCAGTTACAATTAGGAAACCAGATAGGCTTGTCCAAACGAATTCAATTGCGTCAGGTCATTAAAGTGATCATATCAAAGATACCACTCTTCGCGAAGAGAAAAAAGTGCAAGTGGAAACGAAGTTGTGAACACCATTCACAGAGATGTCGTCGCGGGCATGCAGCACTGGGCAGGATGGGAAGCCAAAGAAGACCGAAGCAAGGATCGTGTCCACCATAATTTGGAAGCTTTCTCTGCTCATTCTGTGTATGGCCCCTTGGCAGCACTTAAATGCTCCGACCCCACTCTTGTTGGAAGTTCCATGGCACAAGTGTAAGCGAATGAATCTTTCTCTTCTCAACGGTGTTCATGCAATGAGTGCAATGTAAGTGTCAAATCGAACATGACATATACTATACTATAGTTGGAATATCACACAGCGCTGCAGAGCTGCTTGCTCTATAACCTGTCATTCGTTATCCAGAGTCACCCTTGCCACTTTCCTACTTAGGTTTGGGCTTATGTTTACCTGGCCTACCTCCAGCAAGTTATTCCAAATTTCCCTCATGCCGGGAGCAAAGAGCAATCAAGTGCAGCCGAATTTGCATTTCATGTAGGATTCTTGTTGCAGCCTTTCCAAGAGCAATGAGTTCTTTCTTCTCTCCATTGCTCTTCTCATTGCTCATAATATTGCCCTCCTGCGCCAAGTTGGCCTGATTGACCGACTGGATACAGTATCTTCAGTCTCTTCACCTAGGATATTAACAAGCCCTGTTCCCGGTGGCTGGAGGAGCAAAGCACGCCAATGTGCGAGAATCTTGAATGCATATGATGCGAGCAGAACCATAGATTGTGGAGGCTTTAACTGATCTTCTTGACCCTGCCATTGCTCAATTTCAGGGCCTTCAGCAATTCAGAAGTGTGCTTCCCTTATGGAGAGTAATGCCCAGTCCTTGGCCAGTAGTCAATTCCTTTGGCTGTTGACATTTGCTTCAGACGCATCTCATTTGGCTTCATTCGCTATGACAGACTTGGTGCAGTTTTATGCTAGGTTCCGTAACTATAGATGCTTGCAAGCAGCGCACCCTTGAGCCTAGGTCCGAGGTCTAGGCAACATTTTGGCAGCTACTTGTTTTTGCACGACGATCGTGAATCGCAGCAACCGAGGGTTTGCATCGCTTAATCGTCGATGTTGTGCTTCAAGAGTCGAGTTGATTGTTCTTGCTCCTAGTAGTAAGGCCAGGAGCGCCCCGTTCGTAGCGTCCTTGCTCCTAGTAGCGATGCCAGGAGCCCCTAGGAGCTTCTTGCTCCTAGTAGTAAGGCCAGGAGCCCCTAGTAGCCACATTGTTGCTGGGCTTTTTGTAGCTGTTGTCATAATTGAGAGTAATCTCATTGCAGTTGTGACAGTGTTGCAAAGCATTCTGTCCCGTATCGTGAGTGCTGCTTCTGCTGCTGGTCGGGTTGCTCCTGCTGTTGTTAGTGCGCTTACGTCCTTGAGACAGGACAGGAGTAATTGCAAGACGCCCATCAAAGTAAGCAAGATAGGGACACCAACATGGTAGGTGGTTAAGAAGTAACAAGAGAAGTTAAGCGACTTCTTGACAGGATGTCCTTGCAGCTCTCTCAAAGTTCAGAACAGTGATGTCAAGAAAAAATAGAGAGCCCAACCGTGCTTTTCTTATCTCTACTCCGACAAATGGATCCAAGAAAATTAGATTTACGTGTGAAAACAGTCTCAGTGAATGTCACTGATATTGAAAGTGCATGAGAAGGACAAGCGCGAATGAATATCATCAATAAGTGGCCAGAAAAATGGGTGATGGAAGGAATTTGCACGGAGAACGACAATCAGGTCCGCAAAAGGCGCTGCTTTACAAATTGCAAAGAATGGAAGAACTACTTGGTTCACGCTGCTTTGGAGACCTCAAGAGTATGTGGTTTCACTCAAACAGGATTTGGTTGAACTCACCTTCAGCTCTGAACATGTTCAGATGCCTCGGGGCTCCAACCTGTTGTGACAATTGCACCACAAAAAGTATCCTGTGCCCTTATTTGGAGGAACACGACCAGAGAGTCGAAGGGTGAAGTCGGAGAGTCGTCATTTATATACTCTTGGACTCGAACAACAGCGGTCCTAACATGTCCTAACTCAGTGCACACTTCTTGCCATACTTTCACTCCTTGCCTTTCATTCCAGAACCACAAAGGCTTACATGCATTCAACGACCGCACCCCAAATACACCTATCCTAGGCACATTGTGACACAATGATGCACAAAGGTGCTGCCCCTTCCGTACGTTGGTCTTTGTCAGTGGATGAAGTGCACCATCCACAAGAGTCCCTTCAAGGTTTGGCGGCATACATTTACCTCATAAGGCTGGGTTTGCCACCGGCCATCAACGACTCCATTGCATGCACGTATAGACATACTGTATTTCTTTGGCCCAGTCTTTCTTGACGGTCTTCGAGTTATGCGGCAACTCAGTGAGAGAACTAAAGTAATTCGAGGGGAATACAACTGAAAGCTGCTGACGATCATGAAAAGCTCAGACAGGGTTGAAGTTGCACCTCAAAAACAGGGAAGATGAGTGCTGTCCAAGAACATCAAGAAACGATTCACTACAGAACCTTGTAGCAGAACAAGCCATGACTAAGGGCCTTTACACTTCCAAGTCTTCTGAGCTTCTGCCTTTGCATTCACAACACTAAGGTCTTGGAGTTGGAGTTCTGATGTTTTCCGAAGTCTCACCCGATTCCGGTGAACCCACCGGGTCGCAACTTCTTTATTGTATGCCTGAGACTCGCTCGCCTGCCGATTCGATTGAAAGGCGAGAAGGACAGAAGGAAAGTAACATTCAATGGTAGATAGGGGTAGGTGATGGTAGGCAGTCCTGTGAATTTGGACTGCCTAATTGCTGTTGGTCATGTTTGGTCTCACCCTGCGAGCAAAAGGACAAACCGCCGTGCCATTTTGGAATGGCCAAGATACTGCCCCGTGTTGCCTTATATTATACTTTACTACAGTATAGTATATTGTAATATATATATAATATGTATTATGTCAATGAAATGGAAATGTGCGTCACCGAAGCCATCAAAGCCCCTGAGATTTCGCTCTTTGGAGTCCGACATTGTCCTGTGGAACTCGCTGGCAAGCGCTGCCAATGATGCTGGCAGGCCGCAACGCCATTGCGGTCTCAGACCGCTTGGGATGAATTTGTTCTTGTGATTTGGTCCACAGATTGTGTTTCGCCATGGTCTGTGCCATCGATTTTCCACTATGGGATAATGCAGTAAACACAAGTATACAATGCATACATGAGTATGCAGAAGTGTCACTGATGGATTTTGCTCCACCTTTTATGCGGCCAAAGGTGGCCACAAGCGCATGCTCTCTTGAAGCAGGCCCCTGCCGCCAACCTGTCCGGTTGCTTGGACAGTACGACTCGGCCTTTCCTATAAGGATTTTTGTATCTTCACCACACACATTGTGGTGCTTTCACAAACTGGACAACAGCCGGATGTTGTAGAATGACAATCAGAATGCATGAGGAAACATGAGGTACTGATTTGACTGTGAGAGTGAATATGGTTGCAAGCCACGTTCCGTTTGAGGCCATTGACTACTGTGTCCCTGACTACGCTGGCACAGAGGTGGGCGCCGGTCGTGGTATCGTCCGCCCCCACTAGCTGTTGTGACCATGTTTGGCTGGTCATCTACGTCATAGCAACATCTATTCATACAATTGCAACAAGCAAGGTTTCTTTGTGTCCTCTGACATGAAACTCGAAGCCGAGTTGCACTACCGTAGATGGAAGAAATATTTAAGCCCTCCAAACCACCTTGATCCCTTCCACCCCAAAACCCAATGTAAACACGCCTGCCAGAGTGTGTGGGCAATGGACGAAACAAATCAAACTCTAATGCAAATTGAAAGAAGTTGCTTTCAACATCGAACTTTGGGGGTGCGGGCTCGTGACAGCTCCCTGACTCAGGGGGTTGAAATATGTTGTCCGTCTACTGTAGGGACACGTGCCAAGGCAATGGTGGGAGTTTTCGCTGCTGCTGAGTTCTCAGATGGATTGGACGACATTTCCGTGCACCATCGCCATTTTATCAACGAGACGATTGCTTCCAAGGCTCTTGCAAACGGCCGAAGACCTCGGTATGCACACCAGAATCTCAGTTGCAAAAGAGACTACTTGTTAAGCACGGAAAGCTGAACAGTCATTACTTTGTCCTTAGCCGTGCTTTCCAGTGGGTATTTTGGGATGCCTCAGAATGTCAGGAACACAAGTAAACCTCTCATGACTCTCATGTAACATCCTTTTCTAGTTGTATCCCTTCCCAAAAAACAGTCGGCTGAAACAAGTTGATTATGCTTCAAGAAAATGTTTTTGTACTTGGATATGCTCAGTTTCTTTGGTGGAAGTTCCTTACGCCTTTGCTGAAGCTCATCATACTCACCATATAATACGTGTTTAATTCGATCCTTTGTGGAGAGCCAGTTGGTAATGGACACATTGACATGTCACCCATGGTCTTTGTTCTTAAAAAAAGAAAGGAATGTGGATAAAGGACTGGCTGTCGATTTATTGTTTTTGAGACAGCAAAATGAACCGAATCAAGAGAAGCTTTGTGCAACAAGTCCAGGTGCTTTGTGCAATGCAGCTATCAGTGCTTGTGCTGCGCAACAACTATGGCAGCGAGCCGTATGCCTTTTAAGCTTGGCGCGGAAAGCGCCACCCGGCGCAGAGTTCCGGCAGAGTTTGTCTGATGGGGGGGAGGGCGGGCGGAGGGATGGAGGGCCAAGTTGGAGGAAGTTCAGTTCACAAAGAGAAAGAACGAAGGTAAGTGCCCCCTTAACGAGGCCCTCTTTAAATTGGCCTTCAGTATTAAAAGGGATGTTCTCATCGGTGTTTTTTGGTACTTTCTCAGAAACTACAATTCACACATATGACAGATATGATCTTTTGGACAGCAAAAGCCCCAAAGCCGGGCCGGGAGTTTTAACTCCACAGAGTACTGTTCAGCGTTTCTAAAACATGAGCACATGTTTTTTCTTCAGTGATCAAGTGAAGACGCTATGATTACTATGATTCAGTTGAGCGTTGTCGAGAACAGGCTTTGCGTATGACGTAGTGTTCTTGCTGTCACATCACCTTGTTACCATAGGAATCACGGATTGATATTCAATGGGCTTCTGAGTTCAATAAACTTGCAAGGTCATTTGAGTTTGCATGCCTGAAAGCTGCGTGGACTTTCCAAGACGTGCATCACGTGCCGGCCTGGCTTCACGAGTTATCCTTCTCACGGTGTAGAGCTCCCAGGATGTCATTGCCTTCAGTGCTTGCATCACTGCCTGTGAAGGACAGGTTGACAGCACACCGGTTCAAGGGGATTTCAGTGAGGAAGCAGACTCGACAGAAAGGCGGAACACAAGCTCTTAGCATTCGTCTTGTTTTGGATAACACAAACCATGACACAAAGGCGGAAGGAAAAGAACCAGACGCTGTGGACGCCTCGCAAAGAGAGGGTTTTCAGTGCAGGCCTGGAAGGTGTGATGAAGAAAGCACCTGAGGGGTACTGGTAGTGTTGTTTTCCTAATATACTGCAGTTTTGAAGGGTGCAGCATAATGTACCATGGACCATGGTATTGATAATGTGATGCTTTTGCACCAATAAGATAAGACACGGCCATATTACACGAGGTTTGCCAAACTCACATTGTGTTTGCACGCGCTAACCATGCTAACCATTGTGAGGGGTATGCGAATCTTGGCCTGACTCTGAAACTGTTCCCTCATTTCGAGTTGGCAAGGCCATCGTCTTCACGAAAAAGCTTACGTAATACTGTATACATCTGTATACCAAAGTCACAAATCACCAGGTGGCCCGAACCGCAACTGGACACCCTTTTGCAAGTCGTGAGAAAGACCTGCTTCGATCCCCTTGCGAGGAGCGCATGCGTGGCAAAATGCGCTGGCCATTTTCGGCCTTTTAGGCAAGGCAGACGCTGTGGCATACAGCGCGTGTGCCCTTGTGTGGTGCTTCTATTGAATACAATGAATACAATGACAAGTCTTGCAGAGTTCACACGGTTGGCTCTTCATTGATTCATGTAGTTCAAGTTTTCTCCCCAGGTATCAATGCTTGTGGTCGAGGCCAACAGTGGCAAACCGCCCTGGGTCTTATGCAGGATTTGCCCGACTTGTACAGTCCGTAGACTGTGATCAGTTCTTTCAGACTTCAGTGCGATGATTCACCGTAAAAGTGACAAGAGTATTGCGGCACTGGCTTCTATGTTGCGTTTCCAAAAGAGCCATATTCCCTTCCTGAGCGGACTTTGTGGTGACTTGTGATGCAATTCTGGGAAGTCTATGGAGGATAGAGCAGTGCTGGGGGCGAGCTGAGTTGATGTGAATGTTCCCTGCTCCATCTCTCTCTCCATCTCTCTCTCCATCTCTCTCTCCCTCCCTCCCTCCCTCCCTGTCTCTCTCTCTCTCTGCTTGACGGCTGCGGGGCGGTCTTTATGTGACGGTGTATTTTGGATTCTGGCTTTTCCTGGTCGTATTCATTACCTTTCGTGTCTTCCTCGCTGTTCTGCTTCTATCAGCTTCCCTGTTTTCCGCCTTGGTTCTCTCCTGCTTGTTGTTCAAAGCCACGTTGGAAGAAGTGTTGACCACACAGAAAATGAATCCAACGTCAACAGCAAAAAGGTGTTTTGGTCGAAACAGTTTAAACGCACAGTGAATGCAACACGTCCAACACTTCAAGTGTTTCTTGTTGCAACAACTCCAGGAGATGCGGTCTTTGTTTCTGAAGCCCAATGCGGTGACTTGGACCTCCCTGACTGCAGCATGTTCTCTTGGCGCGTCTTGGCAGTTGTCAAGTGCTGAAGTTGGTTGAAGCTGTTCATTCTGGCGAACGTTGCCGAAGACATACTATAAACACATATATATATATACATATGGAATGAAAGAAAGACAGATAGAAAGATAAGAAAGGAAGGGACCGGACAAAGAAGACTCCAACGGTCCAGAGGAGAAAGAAGGGAACAACATCGTCTGGCCACACGACACATGCGTCATAAAGTGTGTGAGTCGACACATGCGCATTGGTGCAAGGCTTGGACCCAAGCGTTAGCAATGCTTGCTGTATCCAAGACCCATCAGGCATGTGTTCTCACATATGTTCACAGTTTGGACGGGGGGGACAAGCATGTCTTCAAGAATCTGGCGTATTGCAGTTCTTAGCTTGCTTTGCTTGGTATGATGCAGGTGCATTCAGTGGTGCTTTCGCATGGTGATAACAGCTCGGTTTCTTGCGAAGGCTTTGAGTGCCGTGGTCACTGGTGCCACCATTGCTGCCTGCGAGGTTTGCAGGCTCCAGTCACAGCTACTCTATGCGGTCAAGTTTGAAATTCTCAGTACAGTACACAGCTGGTTCACACAGAGAGCGAATTGGGACTTGATTAGACCTTCAAAGGTACTGGCGACAAGCTTTGGGCTTGGTGGAGGCATCCTGAAAGCTTCCTCAAGGGATTCTAATGAACTGAGTGAACTGAGTAGAACTTTTTGGGTGAAGTGCTTTAGCCGTGGCAAAGCTTTTCTGGCCATCCAGGACTTGAATGCAGTTGCAGTCGATCCAACCATCGTAACCCGGCACGCAGTTGACACAAAACATGGACAAGTTGTTTTGGAATCGCTTTGGTATTACATTTTCCGTCAGAGAGCTGGAAGCAATGTCTTCTCTTAGTGCCAGTTGTTTGTGGTCTTGAAGCTTGTCTCCCAGTCTGTATTTGACGCCAGAGTCCTTTTAATCCGAGTTGGTTGCCAGCAGAGGGTTTGAAAGAAGCCTTGCCTTGTCGAAGAGGAATGCAATTGACTGACGTTCGTGCCTTTTTGCGCAATCCAACCGCTCTGACACCGTTCCTTTCAGTCGGCCCCTGGTCCTCTTCCCCCGAAATTGGCTTCCCAAGCCTCGGTTCCGCCCTGGATCGTCTAGCCTGAGACAAACATTGCCGATGACTTCCGTATTGCCTCATGATATGAGGAGCGCCCCGTTCGTAGCGTCCTTGCTTTGTTCGTAGCGACGCCCTTTGTTACTAGTAGAGATGCCCTTGCTCCTAGTAGCAAAAAGGCTATGATGTTCCTATTGAGCCAAATCAAGTCTCAGCATATCCAGAAAGATGTTTTTTTTGCGTTCAATGCGCAAACATCACCACTGTGAAGTTGGACGGTTCACCAGTTGCCATACACGTTCTGTAAGAGACCGAGTAAATTCTGAAAGGATTTTCCCATGTTGACGTATTGGCCTCGGAAGGTGACTTACAACAGCTTGCTCCTTGCTATGCGCGCAAGCGGCTCCCAGATGATCAAACCGCTCTTACAATCCATGCGCCTGCGCAGGCAGAACATTGCCCGGCCGAACGATATTCATATGACAGTGACCCATGGCTGTCCTTGAAAAGACATGTGCACAAAGAAGATACCATGAAGCCTATCAATGTTTGCCACTACTACGCGTTAAGAATCTATCTCTATCTCTCTCTCTCTCTCTCTCTCTGTCTCTCTCTCAGGGCTGAAGTCGAAAGATGGACTGAAACTGAATCCCTTGATCTCATACAGCAGGCCCATGCAAGCTCAATTCCACCTTAGTCACTGTATTTTCCTACCTTGAGCACGGTTTCAGCAAAGACACAAAAACCTGGCCCATGACTACCCAAGGTGTTTGCAATGCGCATGAGGGAACATGATTGCACGGCTGACTGGTCGCAAGAAATTCTACCTGTCTATTGAATCTATTGGAGGCACTAGGAACATCACTAGGAGCAGGTTTTCCCAGTTTGTCCAGCGATTTGATGCCTGGTTTGGATTCGTTGCACAGTGGCCGGATAACGGTACGGAATTGGTAGAGCTACAAGAGGTTTCTTGGTGGGGTGAAAGGAGCAAATCCGCCAGGTTGACGGCTACCATAGCAACTTATGATGTGGAGTCTTGGTGTTTTATGGTTCTTTGAGACAAGAAATACACAAGCTTATCCTGATTTGCTGCTGTGCTTTATTGCGGACCTTCACTGCGTCACGAGAAAAATTGCGTGGCTTTCCAATTGCCAAGGAACTCTTCGCTTGCGAAAAGCAAGGCACACAAATTGCAGCCTTCCAAGCCGTGCCTTGGAATCAAAGACAGGTTTGCAGCTTGCACATTATAATGATTCTTCTGGCAAATGCTACAGACACTGTCTAGGATGTAAAATATAAAATCTAATGCAATTTAGCTTGATTGTATCCAGGTCAAATCGATGCAAGATATTACACATTGGTTGGAAATATTCTTGAAACAAACAAATAAATAGTATTTTTTTTTGAAATATATATATATATATGGTTTTTGTCACGAAAAGGTAGCCCTTTAGCGGATGCTTCGTATTTCTTTTGCGAAGCAAATATGGATTCTTCCGGATTTAATAATGGATATTAATAATCTGAATGTAATATTCTTTCTTAGAATTGATTATTTTTTAAATATATGTTCTTTCTTTTGGAATTTATGTTTTAATTTCTCGTTTTCTTTTTTTCGATTATTTTATTCCGAAATGGATTATGTCGATGATTATTTTGGATTTAATATTCTTAAATTGAAATAATATTTGAATTTATGAAGAAATATAATATATTAATAGTATAAAACATATTATATATTTATAAATATTAAATATTAATTGCTGCAATATTGAGGATTAGTTGTTGTAATATTATAAAATCTTTCGTAGAATAAATTAAGGGGATAGGAATAAATATAATGATGTTATTTTTAATGGAATATATAAATTAAATATTCTATTCGACTTGTATATAACGCGGTAAGGTCTTTTTGAATATCGGTAAATTTATCGACATTATATTAATATGAAAATGGGTGTGATAATTGTACGTTGGGTATTGAGGGTTACGAACGATTGAGAAAATTTTTGAGATTTTGATTATACGCATTTTTCTAATTTAAGGGAGCGCTTGTGCGTTGAAATGCGTTGCGGGTGCGGTGTATTGCCGGATTTCGGTTGTCGGCTGAGTTACCTCGATATTGGTAACGGAGTCCTTCGGGGCTTTGCGAGCTATATTTTGAGGTTAACGGGGCTCTGCTTAAGTCCCGTGTTATTAACACGTTTATTGTCTCTTTTGTTGAGCGCTTTCGAATAACGACCACTTATTTGAAGAAGAATGCCGACGCAGGTAGCAGATGGCAAAGAGACCGCCGAATTCCTCAAACTGCGCGATTCTTATGTCCCGGTCTTTTTAGGACAACCAAGCGATTACCGAGAGTATCGCAAGAGGTTGAACTTGTGCCATAAGAAGATGTAGCTCAGCAAGCGGTCAGGCGAGTCCATCCTCAACATCTTCGGAAGCTTTTAGGGCGTCACTTGGCGTCTCTTTGAGGATTTCTCAGTTGATGATACTGAGAAAGAGGATTCCTTCTCCAAGATCCTGTCCAAGTTGGATTAGAACTATGAGTATAATGACAGTGTCACACTCCCCAACGACTTCGAATTCTACTTCATCGACTACGATGAGGCCTACAGACGCCTGAACCGACACAAGGTGACTCTTCCAGCTGCAGTTCAAGGATGGCACCTCTTGAGAAGAGCTGGCCTGTCTCGTGAGCAACGTCAGCTGGTGACCTTGAAGGCACCGACCCTCGAGAAGAATAACGTCATTGAGGCCATCTACCTGCTCTTCGGTCAGGATTACAAGTCTGGAGGCTGGGCACCGGAAAAGGACAAGCGCTTCTCGCGCTGGAAAGGTCGTGGTTATGCGGCCATGGAGGAGGATCCTGAAGCCTGGGAAGCCTATGAAGAAAGAAGGCTACTGGGGAGAGGATGATTGGGCACCTGAGCCTGACTGTGACGACTATGGGGACGACCCTGAATTCGATGTTAACGTTGGCTACTATGGGGAGCTTGAAGCCCCATTGGATGATGAGCCAGCTGAGCTTGCTAGCACCTATGACCATGCCTATGCCACGTACTTGGGCGCCCGTCAACGATTTCAACAGTTAAAGATGGCTCGAGGCTTCATGCCTGTTGTGGCGCTGACCGACAACCAGACCACGGTCCCCATCGATGCTGGTCCTGTCCCAAGTGGTTCCAAAGGAAAGGACAAGAACAAAGGCAAGGGCAAGTCAAAGAAAGGAAAAGGTCAGAATGTGGTTCGCTATCCCTACACTACGGCCAAAGATGCTGATCCGCGTGGACGTGCCAAGGCCACCAATTGTTTGAGGTGTGGCCAACTTGGTCACTGGGCTGCGAATTGTCCCCAGAATGCGAAGTCCTCCTCCCCGACCTCCTCGAACAAGAGACCTGCACCTGGTCACACTGAGGGTATGGCTGTGAAGACTGAAGAAACTCTCGTCCTCTTTCAAGATGAGTATGGAGCTGAATGTGTTGATGCCACCATGCTTGACCCTGGAATTTCTGCATTCTTGAGTGGCTATGGCCCCTTCGTGCGCTACGTCAAGCATTTGGAAGAGCTGGGCTATCCGGTGAACCAGATCCGCTTTGCTCGATGCGAGCGTCGCTTCCAGTTTGGGGGTGATGCATCAGCCCAAGCTCGATGGACAGTCGACCGGTTGACGGCCAGCTGGGCACTATCCAATGCCACTTGGTGCCTGGCAATACGCCTATGTTGATGGGACGCCCTGACATCGAAGCTCTACACATGAGCATTGACTTCAGTGGTCGTATGCTGCGCTTCGGCCCTTCGCCCTGGCAGCCTGTACTGGTTGGCAGACATGGCGAATACCTGATGTCGCTCATCGAGGGCATGGAATGGCAGACTGACCCGACTAAGAGCCTCTTTGCCCTGCACTGAGGAAGTGCCTGGCAGTGCGCTTTATCTGCCCGACTTTAACGCCGCAGAGCATGGGTTCACGGCCGAGGAGTATGACCCCAAGAATGAGCTGGACATAAGCCGATTGCCTCGGCATGCTCTTCGCACCATGGAGCTTGCTCTGACAGCCCGAACCACGGAGATTGAGAACCTCATCATTCAGTCCCTTCATGAACCACAAGACCAACGGCGAGTGCTCTGGGAAGTGTACACTGGTAAAGCCCGCGCTTCCTCCATCGCCGAGTCCTTGGGCATGAAAGTGGAAATCTTTAGCCTTGACAATGGCTGGGACTTCAACTTGATCAAGCACCAACAGCAATTCCTGACCCGACTTGATGAAGAACAACCAGATGAATTGTTGATGGCTCCTGAATGTCGCCTTTGGTCTCGCATGCAGACACTGGCCTGCCGAGCACCTGCACAGCAAGAGGCACTACAAGCTCGTCGAGATCATCACCATCGACGGCACCTTCGCTTCGTTCGTCGAAGCTACCTTACTCAGGTCAAGAATGGGCGACGCGCCACTGTTGAACAATCACGACATGCCCTGAGCTGGAAAACTGGCGCTCTGCGTGATCGTCCTGCCTTCGCAGTCAATTTCGACCAGTGCTGCTACCGAGCGATGTGTTTGGATGTTGATGGCACTTGGAAGCCAGTACAAAAGAGCACCAGGTTCCAGACGACCAAGAAAGCCATCGCTGAGGCCTTCACGCTGCAGTGTCCTCACGACCATGAGCATTGCCCACTGGAAGGCCATGCAACTGGCCTTGGTCCTCGGACGTCTTACCTCGAGAACTACCAGCCTGGCTTTGCCTCGACACTTGCAGCAGCCTTGATGGTTCCTGAAGCTCCTCACGCCTGGGAATGGGCGTACATCGTGGATGATGAGAACATGGGCAAGCCACTTGGACACTTGTCTAAGCTCCACGTGGAACATCGGCAAGATGCTCTTCGAGTTGTGCAGCGACTTCATCGCAACTTGGGTCATCCGACACCTGATGCCCTGGGAGATCTTCTTGCCGCCCGTGGTGCCCCAGAAGTCGTGGTCAATGCTGCTCGAGCATACAAGTGCGTGGCCTGCCGCAAGCATCGAAACCCCAACCAGGTGGCACCTTCGACTATGCCGACTACCAGAGAGTTCAATGATGCTCTGCAAGCTGATGTGTTCTAACTCAAGCGGCAGGACACAAAGTATTCCATCATGAGCCTGGTCGATGTTGGCACCAGGTACATGGCCTGTTACCTCCTCACCGACGAGACCTCCGAGTCCTACATTCAGGCTCTGGAAAAAATGTGGTTGCGACACTTCGGTGCACCTCGACAGCTCATCACGGATGAATGCCGACCCTGGCTAAGCAACATCTTCGACAACTGGACCAGTGCACACGGCA